CCGCCCATACAATCAGCATGAATTGCACAAAACAATGGTGATTTACAAATATGGCTCCATTACCAATGGTCTCTTAGCAGTGACCAAATAAGACAATCCGAGCATGATGTATCCATCGAAAAGTCACGAACCAATCAAGCGGTGTGCGCTCATAGCAGCGCCTCAAGCCACTGTGCTACCTATGCCTCATTCAATTCTGCATATCGTCTTATTCAGGGCACGGCCGGTGTAGGTAATGCGATTCTGCTTCTCATCTTCTGTACAGCTTTGGCACTGATTACCGTCTTCTCAGCTATCGGAATCGTGGAACGCTGTAAGATTCAGGTATTGATTTATTGATTAGCATCGGATCTGCCAATTCTTTGTGGACACTCAACTTTTTTTGCTCATTCTTCACGTTCTCGAAAACATTTTTCGTGCTTGTTCTTAATCATGGTGGCAGTAGGCAACACTATCGACTTTTGGGATGCGCCATGCTTTCTACAAGACGTGTGTGCACCTTTCAATCATCTCTCTTACCTACCAGTTAAGGGTGGTAACCTACAATAGCCACCGCGTACATTCAATTACTATACCCTAGTCAGACTTTATTGTGATGAGCTTCTCAGAAGCCTATTCCACACTGTTCGAATGGGCGGGTCAGACCTACAACTTGACGTTCTCTATTGGTGCATTCCTGCTTGCTGACAATTGGGATGGTGTGGCATAAAGCATTGCACAATGTAAAGACTGACTCTTCCCTTGACGGCCTGGAGTGTGCCTTTTATGGGGAGTCATCGAACCATGAAACAAGTCGGTATATTAAAACCGCCTGTAGCTACCGCGCCACTTATCCCGCTGGAGGGCATCATATAGTCTTCAGCACTTTCGAGAATCCTCAGCTTGTTCTCTCAAAGTCTTTCTGTCCCTTTCAAAAGCCCTCTTTTTTGGACCATTGGCTTCATGTCTAATTCCAAGTGGCCTTGTTTACGTAGCCTGCAGAGGAAGGCACCGCCAATTGTTTATGCCTTTTCGGGGTCCAAAACAATAGCTCTAGGTTTTCTGCTTCCATTCACGACGTTACTGAAGTCATTTTTTCAGAGCGGAGGGATCTACTTTCTTGTTTCGCATGTTCTTGGCGGTCGGCTCGGTGGTGCTGTTGCATTGATCTACGCTCTGGGGCAGGTAAGTACACACTTTTATGGTTGCATAGAAG